CTTTAACACACACACGCGCGTGGAGTTCGTCGCAGCAAAATCAATTAACTTTCCACAGCGGCCACGGCCACCTCCCCCCCCCGCCCGACCCTCGTAGGGTTTCGTCGCTAACTTCCTTCCATCCTCCTCATCCTCAGCTTAAGAGCGGCGTTGCTATTGTTTCCGCCCCTAATGAAATCGTGTTGTAGAGGGCAGGGGAGCGGTGACTTTGTCTCCTCACAGCATGCCTGTCAGCACTCGTCAGGGCAGGGTGTCTTAACTGGCGGCATGATTGACAGGTTGCCGACATTTTACTGATCTAGACTTCCTGGCTGGCAGTCTGCCCAGGTAGTGTCGTTGAGCACGAATCCGAATCAGGGAAAAATATAAAACAGGGCAAGGATAGTTTATAAATATTTCACCATAGTATAACATAAAACGAAATTACGCCAACGAGAGTAATGTAAAAATATTTATTTTACATGTAGCGATGGCAAATAAAATATCAATTTAGTCTACTAGAAAGCAGTAGTTGAAACTGCAGGAGGTCAACTCAAATGATCCAGCAGGACTGTTTTGTGGTGTCACCTAAAATGGTCCCCCCCGCCGAAGTGTCTTACGAATTCGTGGTCAGGGATAAAATAATGGATTAAGGCGTGTAAATGTGTGTTGAATTGGGTGGAAAAGGAACAATAGAAAGCAAATTACAGCCACTTAAAACTGTTTTAGTCAGCTGAATGTAATCAAATTGATCAACATAAACTCATGTTGCGTAGGCTACTGATGCCTATTGACCATTAAGAATAGTGGACAAGTCCTATTGGCGGAAATTCGACCTTAGGCTGGCGGAATTTATGTTCAGGCAGCTCAGCCAGGCTGAATTTATTTTAGGCGACCCCACAAAACAGCCCTACCAATGAGGCTCTCTAAATACTAGGTATAAGGAAAATGAGACACAACAAAATATATTAAAAATAAAATAGATATTCATAATTTGTAGTGTCTGGTTCTTAATCAAATATATGGACCACTAGAATTGCTATCTTTTCGAGCGAAAGGAAAAACTTTAATTCAGCCATAGGTCTCAAAAAACGGAGCTACGTGGTTATGTGAAACTATGGTGATACTCATAAGCTATCCCCCACCAAGACCGGTAAGTTGCTATGCTTCTTAATGTGTGCAAAGTTAAGCTTCAATTGCAACAAGCATAAGCGCAGAAGCCGGCTCCAGCCATAAATAGGAGGCCTTTTTGGTAGTAATTCATCGTGGGGCCGCCAAGTTGTAAAAGCCTTCTACCCATGTTTCTCAAGGAAATCGTCGTTAAAAGTTGAATGCTTGATTAAGGAGGAGGTAATGCGTGTTTATTGTGTGGGAAGTGAACAGTAGAAAAGCCGCTTGTAATTGTTTTACTGAACTGAAAATATATGCGAAACGCATCAGGAAATAATAAAATTGACCAGTATAAGCTCCTATCGGTCAGCAAAGGTTGTCTATCGACCAATACAAATACTAGAACAACTCCTCTTAGTTAACGTAATGAAGAAAGTGGTCCAAGAGGCCGAAATTCAATCTACTTAAAATTTGCTAGAAAGTTGTGATTATTTATACCAACCCCCAAACGGCCTCTCTATGGATCTCTGCATCGTCCGTGTTCCTGATCCATGTTCTCCGCCTTCACTGGGGACTTCAGGTTCCCACCTGAACATTTTTCGGTTATTTAGCATTCGCTTTAATAAAGGCGCCTACAGGGGCATCATTGAGTGTCGGAAGTAACTTCTCGACTTTTATTTACAGTTCCCGGACCGCCGAGGAAGATCCTGATCAAGGCCACCGGCAGCAACACTCTCAGTATATCTTGGGCACCCCCAGTGGATCCCATTTCCCCTGCCACCCCACTAACTCCCAGCCAATCAAATGACCTGCGGAACGTCTACTACAGCATCGACATTCAGCCAACCGATTCCAAGGTTAGCTCACCTGTGAATAATTGGTTGTTTTTTGCAGACACTCTTTGACTCTCATTGGCTCTTTAAACCATTTATTTAAACTTGTGACTTGACTGGTCGTGCGATAATCTGCTGACGGGGAAACAACTTCCCAAAAGTTGAACGCAAGGTAAGATCTAACTTCTAGTTATCTAGAAGATCTAAGATAGGAAGCAATAGCAGAAACGGGTCTATTGCTTTCTGCTCATGTCTCTGATGAAGAATCCACGATGGATGTCGAAACGTCAGGCAAATAAAAGTGTTGTCCCAGCGATCGAATCTTCTTTGTCTTTTTCTCAAGAACTACTGATTTTTTAACATGTCCCCAATTGCGAAACTGTGCGAAGATCATTTTGAACCGCAAGAACAGTCATTATCCTTGATGAGATCATTAGGTACACTGTGTCCACTCATTTGGGAATACGGTTGTGACGGTCGAATCATCACCATCACCACCATCATCAACAACAACGGCAGCAGCTGCAACAGCAGAATTATGATTATTATTGCCCACACTACTAACAGCACCATCGTCGTCAGCATCATAATCAGTAGCATCATCAAAAACAAGCAGATCCGATCGCTGGGACAAGAACTTTATTCGCCGGACGTTTCGGATCTCCTCTTGAACCCATCTTCGGGGGCAGTAGCAGAAATGGGTAATCAAGATGTGCAGGGGGGAGTTGCAGTATTTGTAGGACACAGTCGATATGGCACTGCCTACCCATGAAAATTAACCGCCCCCCCCCCGCCTATTGCGGATAGTTGCCCGTTCATGCACTAATTTCTCAATGTCCGGCGCGCGAGTTGTGACCTGCTGAACCTTAATCACCCCCTGCTGCACTTGGGCGTGATGATTGCTCGGCGCTGGCATTAGACAACGCGTTGGCCTGTGCGTTCCCCGAGTGGCAAATTGCTTTGGATCAAAATGAGCCTCAGCACTGAATATGGATTGGGCAGGTCATTGAACTTGTTTTATAGACTGGAGTCCCGTGAACCATGACTGAATTAACTCGCGGCTCATAGGATTGTTGCTTTTCGCGAGAATTTCGGTAATGTGATTTGCCTCCTAATCATCACCATCATCATCATCGCCGGAACCATCTTCGTCTTCATCTTCGTATGCGTCATGATCGTTAGTAGTTTCAACATTATCAACACCATCACCATCATCATCATTGCCGCCACTGACATCGTCCTCTGCATCGCCTTGGTCGTTTACCTCATCATCACAATCATCATCATCAGCGTCCTCTAACTCCTTCTTCTTATGATTGTGATTATTCTCGTCACCGTCCTTGTCCTCAACAGCCTTCTCCTCAATACCAGCAGAAGTCTTACCAGCAGTAGCCTCATTCTCATCAAAATTATCATGAACAACAGCAACACCATCATCATCATCATCGCTGCCACTGACATCGTCCTCTTCACCGCCTTGGTCGTTTACCTCATCATCACTGTCATCAACACCATCACCATAATCATCGTCAGCGTACTCCAACTCTTTCTTCTTCCTCTTCTTCTTCTTCTTCTCATCATCGTCTTTGTCCTCAACAGCGTTCTCTTCGATAGCAGCAAACGTTTTATAAGTCGTAGCTTCATCCTCATCAAAATAATCATGAACAACGGCAGCAGCATCAATACCATCACCATCGTCATCATTAGCATCGCTACAAGCATAGTTTATTTAGCTTTTCAATAAAGTACAGTACAAGTAGCATTGAGAAGGCATATAACTTCTACCCTGGATAAGCTGCCCTTTGGTCTATGGACATATACCACCATGCATCGCTGTGTGCTGTCAAATCGAAGATATTATTATGACTGAACGCCTTATTTTTATCCTTTTTTGCTGTTGCTGCAGGGAACGTGGCTGTCCGCCAGTGAATCGACACCCAACATCCTTCCAGTTAGGCAACAGGTGGCGGCTGAACAGGCCATCGAGGATGCCAGGGGTCAGAAGAGTTATGTTCGCGAAATCAGCAACCTCGCTCCCAATACCTATTACGTGGTTTCCGTGCGAGCCGTTACCCGCTCCGGGTCCGGGGATCGAGCCAAG